TTTAGCTCTTAGTAGTTAGGTTAAAAACTTAAATTTTGTAAATGTTATGAGTAAAGGTTGAGGTTCATTTTTTTCCAGATAGATACCTATTTGTTTCAATGCCATTTACTGAGAAGGTTATTCTTCCCCCAGCTTTGTGGATATCAGTTGACTATATAAATGTGGGGCCATTTCTGGACTCTGGTCTGCTGCTGATCCTTTCGTCTATCCTGTCAATTAATATACATTGTTGTGATTACTGCAGTTTTATTAGTCTTAAAATCAGGTAGTATATGCCCACCAGCTTTATTCTTCTTTTTGAAAATTATTTAGGCTATTCTAGATTCTTTGCCTTTCCTTATAAAATTGAAAATAGACTTTTCAATTTTTATAGCAATGCCTGCTATGATTCTGATTGGGATTGTGTTGAATCTATAGATCAATTTAGAGATAATTTTTTATTGTAACAAAATTGAATATTCCTAGTCAGGCCCAGTGGCTCACGCCTGTAATCCTAGCACTTTGGGAGGCCAAGGGAGGCATATCACTTGAGGCTAGGAGTTCAATGGGCAACATGGTGAAACCTCATTTTAGTCTGTTTTAAAAATATAAAAATTAGCCGGGTATGGCGGCACACACCTGCAGGCTTGGAGGACTGAAGCACAAGAATTACTTGAACCCGGAGGTTGAGGCTGCATTGAGCTGAAATTGCACCACTGCACTCCACCCTGGGCAACAGAGCAACACCCTGTCTCAAAAAAAAAAAAAAAAAAAGGAATATCCCAGTACATTAATGTCTAATATCTTTCTATGTAGTTATTTTTTATTTTTTTCTCTGCATTAGCTTGTGATTTTCAGTGTACAAATCTTGGGTCACTAAGTATTTCTTTTTCTTTTCTTTCTTGAATCCCTTGAACACCTCCCAGGTTCAAGGGATTCTCGTGCCTCAGCCTCCTGAGTAGCTAGGACTACAGGCATGCACCACCACGCCCAGCTAAGTTTTTTTCTACGTTTTTTTTTTTTTTAAATAAAGATGGGATTTCACCATGTTGCCCAGGCTGGTCTCAAACTCCTGACCTCAAGTGATCTGCCTGCCTGTACCTCCCAAAGTGCTGGGATTACAGGCATGAGCCACCATGCCCGGCCAATATTTCATGCTTTTACGCTGTTGTACATGTTATTTTAAATTTCATTTTCCAGTTGTTTATTCTTAGTGTGTAGAAGCACAATTAATTCTTGTACACTGACCGTGTATTGTGACCTTGCTAAATTATCTTATGAATTCTCTTATCTTGTAATACAGATTTCTTAGGAATTTCTACATTTACAATCATGTTGTTTGCAGAAAAAAAGAACAGCTTTACTTCTTTTACAGTCTCTGTGCATTTTACATCGTTTTTCTTGCTTTATTCATTATGTTTCTGTTGTAGTTGGTGTTTGAGACAGGGTTTCATTCTGCCACCCAGGCTGGAGTGGCAAGATCTGCTCACTGCAGCCTCAATCTCCCAGACTTAAGCAGTCCTCCCCAATTCCCACCTTAGTCTCCCGAGAAGCTGAAACTACAGGCACGCACCACCATGCCTGGCTAATTTTTGTATTTTGTGTAGAGGCTGGATTCACCATTTGCCCATGCTGGTCTCAAACTCCTGAGCCTCCCAGAGTGTTAGGATTACAGGCATGAGCCACCGCACCTGGCCTTTGTCTTCTTTTACAATGTTGAATAAATGTGGTAAGAGGAGACATCCTTGCCTTTTTCCCATTCTGAAGGAAAACCGATTTAGTCTTTCATCACTTATTATACTATCTGCAGGGGGTTTGTTATTTATAGATACTTTATCAGATTGTGGAAATTCTCTTCTATTTCTGATTTGCTGAAAGTGTAAATTTTTTTCAAATGCTTTTTCTGCATTTATTAAGATAATCACATAGTTTTCTTTATCCCATAAATATGGTGACTTTTAATGTTAAAGGAACCTTGCATTCTGGTGTAAATCCCACTTAGTCATCATATAGTATCCTTTTTGGATATTTGTTGTAGCTGTTGTTTGAGACAGGGTTTCATTCTGCCACCCAGGCTGGAGTGGCAAGATCTGCTCACTGCAGCCTCAATCTCCCAGACTTAAGCAGTCCTTTTGGATATGTATATAATACCAGTTTCAGATTCAGTGCCAGGATAACTGTTTATCTGAAGAAAATAGTGCCAAAAGGATTCCAACTACTCAGCTACCAAAAGGAACATAGCCAAAAGGAAACAGAAGCATTATTGATATCATAAGGATGGCTTAGTTCAGAAAAGAGATAAGGCTAAAATTTATATTTCTGGGAAAGATGACCCCTTCAATAAAAGTACTATTGATTGAAAAAAAAAAGTAACATAGCATATAGACAGAGGAAAAGAACTAATATTTATTTTATGCCTACAATGTGCAAAGTACTTGAACAAGCATTACAATCCTCCTCTCAACCATATAGATATTAATCTCTCCACACCATATTTTGCATGTGAAAAATGAAGATAAACTACTTTTCCAATAGTCCAAAGTCCCAACAGCTGGTGGAGCTGGACTCAGACCTGAATATGAGTACTCCATTTGTTTTCCACTCAATAGGCTCTACTGTTCGCTAAACCAAGAGCACTGGACTTGAAACCAGAAAACATGGAGTTTAGTCCTAACCCTGAAATTTATTAGCTGTGTAACCTTAGGAAAGTCACTTTGCCTTTCTTGGTTTCCATTTTCTCATCTGTAAATTATGATTAATCACTGCATTCTTGTACTTCCTTTGGTATTTCTTGCAATAGAGATTTGCTTGTAACACATTTTCTCCATTCACAATCTAAAATAGTTATTTCACCTTCAGTTTTGGAGAATAATTTTGCCAAAGATAGAATTCTAAGTTGACAATATTTTCTTTTAACTAGTTTAAGGTTGTCATTCTTTTGACTTAGTTACTGTTTCTAATAAGAAGTTGGTAACCATTCTTATATTAGTGCCCCTGTACATGATATGAATTGTTTTCTCTGTTTTTAAGAGTTTTTTTTAGTATTTGCTTTTCAGCAATTTAACTATAATAAGCCTAAGTGTGGTTTTCTTTATATTTATCCTATTTGAGGTTTGCAGAGCTTCTCGAATCTTGGGTTGACATTTGCCATCAAATCCAATTTTGTTTTCCTGCCCCATTCTCTCTCCTTGCCTTCTAGAACTCCAGTTAACACACTGTTAGACCACTTATTATTGCTCCATAGGTATTCCTGCTCTGTGTACCTTTTAGCTTTTTAATCTCCTCTGCTTGAGTTTGGATAAATGAACAGACTACCTGTCTTCAAGTTCACTAATCTTTTCTTCTACAGAGCAAAGTCATTTCTAACCCCATCTAGGAATTTTTATTTCAGCTATTGTATTTATCAGCTGTTATTTTCTGTTTGGTTCTTTTTTTCTTCACATTCCCATTTGTATTTTGAAATACTCCATCTTTTCATCCATTATATTATTTTTTCTGCATATTATTTAACATATTTATAATACTCTTAAACTCCTTGTTGGTTAATTCTAACAGCTAGGTCACTGTCAAGTTTTCTTGTATTAACTATATTTTTTCTTAATTATGATTCACATTTTTTTGTATCTTTTAGTGTCTTATAATTTTAAATTATATTCTTGGCACTATCTATAAAAGAACAGTAGAGGATAAGGTGTACTTTTTCTTTGTCTTCCTTATTTCTAAGACTATAAGCCTTTCCTCTGGCGATTAATGTCTGGCAATTGAATTGAGAGGATGATCATTCAGGTTCCTCCTATAGTCATTTGACCTGAGGCTGAGTGCAGGTTTTATTACATGGAATTAACCTGGAATCAGTCAAACCTCTAAACTCCCAAGCCACTGCTTTTTTTTTTTTTTTTGAGAAGAGCCCAGTCTGTCACCCAGGCTGAAATGCAGTGGTGCAATGTCACCTCACTGCAACCTCTGCCTCCTGCACTCAAGCCATCCTCCCACTTTAGCTTCCCAAGTAGCTGGGAATACAGGCATGCGCCAGCGTGTGTGTGTGTCTGTGTGTGTGTGCACGTGTGCAGATGGGGTTTCACCATGTTGCCCAGGCTGATATTGAACTCCTGGGCTTAAGCAACCTGAAGTGTTGGGATTACAGGCATGAACCAGCTGGCCACCACTGCCTGTTTAATCCTATCAACACTTAAGCTGGAAAGAGTGTGGCTGCAGTTTCACATAGTTTAGGTTCACCTCTGTAATCAACTCTGGCAAGGCATTACTGCACAATATGTGGGACTGCACAATTTCTTTGTATCTCTCCTGTCCTCCTTCAGTGCTGCTTTTCTAGCAAAAGTTTGGAGAAAGGGGACATAGCAGACAATTCCTGGGCTAAGTGGTTTGTTTTTCCATTTGAGATTCTTCCAGATTCCAATCTACATTCCAATTTCAACAGTTTACACCATTAACTAAGGCTTGTCTGATTTTCCCTTGGCTGTATAAAGTCATATCATCTGTATCAGAGCTACTTAAATCCAGATCATGCGCTTGTCCCAGGTGTAAACGTTCCTGAGGCTCTCTGCTTATTTATGAGGGGCTGTTTTTACCTTGGAATTCAGTTTATCAAAGTTTATTTGTATCCACTGCTAGTCACTAGCCCCAGTGAAATATGATTTTTCTTTTATCTAGGATGTTCTTGTTAATATCAGAGCAAAGGTCTTTTTAAGTCCTTCTATATCCTAAATGGAAGTCTTAAAATAATCAATGAAACAAAACAGTGTAGAATATAATACGCCAGAGTACATTGCATGCAAGTATTGTTTCAGAAATGTTTGTTTCAGGGGTGTGTATGTGTGCGTGTCTGTGTGACCAATCACAAATTTATTATGGTGAGGTATGGTCAAAAAGTTGCGGAAAGTGTCTGTTCTAGAGACATTAAGGACCACTTCAGTGCTAAGCAAGGAGTTCAGAGAAAAGATGTGGAGAAACCGATCTTCAAAGAAAATGGTCTATAGCTAGATCAACTTAATGCACTTAACTGTTCAGAAACCCGAAGGCTTTTATGTATCAACACGAAGTCATTCTCTGGAAAAATATACAAAAACACAAAATTTTTTACGTTTTATCACAGTTTAACACAAAACAACACAATTTTAATACATGCTAAACACATGTTAAAGAGTAAAACACATGCAGATATTTTAATAACAGCCTTCAATTTTTTATTAAAGCTATTTAATAGTTTTAGCACCTGTGTACTGTATCTCAAGTTGTTGCTTGCTGATGGCTAGTGTTAGGTAGAGAATGCACACAAATTCTGAATAGAGAATATGTTCCTTTTATGTTTGGCTTCCTTAAAAAAATCTTTTTAAAATCTCTTTTTTAAGGCCAGTGCGGTGGCTCACACCTGTAATCCCAGCACTTTGGGAGGCCGAGGTGGGTGGATAATGAGGTCAGGAGTTCAAGACCAGCCTGGCCAAGATGTTGAAACCCCGTCTCTACTAAAAATACAAAAATTAGCTGGGCGCAGTGGCACATACCTGTAATCCCAGCTATTCAGGAGGCTGAGGCAAGCGAATTGCTTGAACCTGGGAGGCGGAGGTTGCAGTGAGCCAAGATCGCGCCATTGCACTCCAGCCTGGGTGACAGAGTGAGACTCCGTCTCAAAAAAAAAAAAAATCTCTTTTTTAGAGAGCAGGAAAGAGATAAGAAGACTCTCTGAATGTAGGAAATCCATTCCTAGGTGAACAGATTAAATCACTTTGGCTGGGCCTGGTGGCTCACACCTGTAATCCCAGCAGGCTGAGGTGGGAGAACTGCTTGTGCCAGGAGATCAGCCCAGGCAACACAGTGAGACTCTTCTCAAAAAAATAAAAAAGAGAAAAGAAAAAGAAAAAATCACTTTGACCTCAGCAATTAATGAGGCAACATTAACATAATGGCAAAACAAATATATAGCTGATACAGTTTGGGTATTTGTCCCCTCCAAATCTCATGTTGAAATCCGATCTCCAATGTTGAAAGTAGGGATGAGTGGGAGGTGTTTGGGTCACAGGGATGGATCCCTCAGGAATGACTAAATGCCCTCCCTAACGTAACAAATGAGTTCTTGATCTATTAGTTAATGCAAGAGCTGGTTATCTGAAAGAGGCTGGCACCTCCTCTCATCTCTCCTGCTCCCTCTCTTGCCATGTGACACACCTGTTCCCCCTTCACTTTGCAGCAGGATTAGAAGCTTCCTGAGGCCTTACCAGAAGCAGATGATAGTGCCATGCTTCTTGTCCAGTCTGAAGAACCATAAGCCAAATAAACCTCTTTTCTTTGTAAATTACCCAGCCTCAGGTATTCCTTTATAGCAACGCAAAATGGACTAATACAATAGCCAACAAATATTTATGAAACAATTGGGAAAAGCCAACTGTGCAGTTTTAAACCTTTTTAAAAATGTCACAAATACACAAAACTTGTGTTTTTATAATGCATACAAAAATATGATCATAATTTTGCCACTAAACTGGTGTAAATGAGATATATATATATATATATATATTTTTTTTTTAATTAATTAATTTTTTTTTTTTTAGATGGAGTCTTGCTCTGTCACCCAGGCTGGAGTGCAGTGGCACAATCTCGGCTCACTGCAACCTCCACCTCCTGGGTTCAAGTGATTCTCCTATCTCAGCCTCCCAAATAGCTGGGATTACAGGCATATGCCCATGCCTGGCTAATTTTTATATTTTTGGTAGAGACAGGGTTTCACCATGTTGGCCAGGCTGGCCTCGAACTCCTGCCCTCAAGTGATCCGCCTGCCTTGGCCTCTCAAAGTGCAGGATATTTTTGTTAATTTTTGCTCACAGGTGTGAGCCACCACACCCGGCCAATAAAATTAAACAGGTAAATATTTCATGGTGTGCAAGAGATAAGATAAAGTCTATACTCCTTAATAGGACATATAAGATCTTTCACCCTCTGATTCAAGCTTTGACTCTTGCCACTTGCCTTACTCACCAGCTACATATATTCCAATAAGACCAAATCATCTGCAACTATTAGCAATCCAAAGTCAGAATGCTCCAGTTACAGAGTTCAAATACCACCAGATTTGGTTCTTGGTTGTGTATTATTAGTCAAATTACTTAACCCTTCTAAGTTGTTTCCTTACCTGTAGAATGATCACAATATTACGTATACTTACTGAGCACTTAAGGGAGCCAGACATAGCTCTACTCACTTTATCCATATTATCTCATCTAATTCTTGTAACAACCCCAAGAGGTAGATACTACTGTTAATCTCATTTGACAGCTACTTTACATTTCTCTCTGAATACACCAGATACTTTCCAGATCGGTTGAAAGCTTTTCTGTGAAAGCTTCCTCAGCCCTTTCCCCAGAGTTAATCACTCCTTTTTATTAGACCTATTTGCATATTGCTATGCTTTTCCAATTCTGAATTTACTTTGCAGCAAATACCTGCGTATGTCTTTGCCATGACCTTAAGAATCGTAACACTCATTCTTCCTGGAGATACTCAGAAGGAGAGGAAAGTCAGGGATGAGACCGAAAGGGAGACGGCATGAACAGTGGTGAGTAAATGCTGCAATGCTGTCTCAGAAGACCTAGGTAAACCTAAATCTCAGACTGTCACTCCTGAATTTGTTATAGCAGAGGACGCTAAGGCTTGTGTCAGGAAAAAAAATGAACAACATAAATTCTGCTCAGGAAGATGGATGGGAACTTGCACTATTCACATTATTTGCTTTTCCAATTTTCTATTACATTAGCACATTTAAATGAAAGCATCAACAATTTTTTTAATAAAGCCCATAGGAATATATCTTACCTAAGATTCTTCATTAAATGTGGCTAAAAGTATTTTTAAAACAAATAGGCCAGGCGCGGTGGCTCAAGCCTGTAATCCCAGCACTTTGGGGGGCTGAGGTGGGTGGATCACGAAGTCAAGAGAGCGAGACCATCCTGGTCAACACGGTGAAACCCCATCTCTACTAAAAATACAAAAATTAGCTGGGCATGATGGTGTGTGCCTGTAATCCCAGCTACTCAGGAGGCTGAGTCAGGAGAATTGCTTGAACCCAGGAGGCGGAGGTTGCGGTGAGTCGAGATTGCGCCATCAGACTCCAGCCTGGGTAACAAGAGCAAAACCCTATCTCAAAAACAAACAAACAAACAAACAAATAATAAAGGACCAAACTAATAGAGAGAAAAAAAGTAAGTGTCACGCAGGTTTCTCCTTTCAAACCTCTTGGTGACTGTTCTTGAATAACAAATCTTCAAAGCAAGCACATACAGGATACCAGGCTTTATCTCATTCCTATCAGAGGAAACAGCCTTATAAGTAATTAAAAATGGTTCCCAAATGCAAAGAAACTTTAAAAAGCCTTGTATAGCATGCATTTTAATATTGCTCATAACACATAATATAAATTTCTCAAGCCATTATTGCACCTATTGGCAAATCAAGAAATATGTAAGATTATTTAAAAAATAAATTTAATTCTTTCACAGGTCTATCAAGTCTGTAGAGATATTTGTCATGGAAATTTTTTTCAGGTTTTTTAAAATGAAAGAATGAAAAATGACAGGTGATATAGTGCAGATTATATTCAGACTCAGAATAATGCTAACTTCATGATTGTGGTACATGGTTGGTTATCCACACTATTCATAAAACCTTCCAAATGACTACACTTCTTTTTCTTTGCTGTTCACTGATTGCAATGGGTACTACTGGAGGTTTTATTTGCCACAGCTACATGACTCCAGGTGCTAGTCCCATAACTAACCCAATGGTCATTCCCGTTAGCTCCACCTTTACAACAAATCTAAGTCCCACCACTTAGCATCTTTACTGGTAACACACTAAACCAGGCCACCATCACTTCTTCCTCTCATTTTCTATTTCTACTCAATTTTCACCTTCCCTGTTCATTCTATCTAAAATAAAGCTCCTTTCTCAAAATGATTTTCTATGTCCTCACCCTGCTACATTTTCTCCATAGAATTTATCATTTATCTGAAATTCTATTGCTTATTTGCTTGTTTACTTGTCTCCCTCATTGGAATGTTAAACGCTTATTTGTCAGTTCTATTCACTTTAAATTAAGCAAGGATTTTTAGGTGAAATAAATTAAGCTTTAAAATATTTAGTACAGCTCAATTAATTTTTAGGTGAAAATGAATATAAGTAGCATTTCTAATGCTTTTTTCACATCCTGAAGTACCATCTTGGTACACCTGGGAGATCATGAGTCCGTAATAAGGTATTCTAACTTACACATGCATTAGCTTTAAGGTTCACCATTTCACCTAGGTAAATAGAGAGTATATAGGGTGAGTGCAGTGGCTCATGCCCATAATCCCAAAACTTTGGAGGGCTGAGGTGGGAGGATCACCTGAGGTTGGGGGTTTTAGACAAGCCTGGCCAAGATGGTGAAACCCTGTTTCTACTAAAAATACAAAAATTAGCCGGACATGGTGGTGCACACCTGTAATCCCAGCTACTCAGGAGGCTGAGGCAGCAGAATTGCTTGAATCCAGAAAGCAAAGGTTGCAGTGAGCCGAGATCACACCACTATACTCCAGCATGGGTCACAGAGGGAGACTCCATCTCAAAAAAAAAAAAAAAAGAATATTCAGGGGTCTGCTAAAATAACCAGGTGGCCAAATGTTTTAAGAATATAAAATGTAAACGATCCTTTCCTTTGTTTACTCAGAAGGAAGAACTATTTCTTTTTAAATTTTTATTTTTAATTGACCAACTACAATTGTGTATGTTTATGGAATACAGTGTGTTTTTTTTTTTTTTAAGACAGAGTCTTGCTCTGTCACCCAGGCTGGGTGTCTGATCTCGGCTCACTGCAACCTCCGCCTCCTGGGTCCCATGATAATGCACTATTGTACAACCTGGTGACCATAGTCTCTAATATGCTTCTGGTTTCTCAAGCAATTTAGTTGGCTTCTAAATCACTTCTTTCTACTATTAGGTAATATTTGTGAAAGAAATGTGCCACCATGGCTGGCTAATTTTTGTATTTTTGGTAGAGATGGGGTTTTGCCATGTTGGCC